CAACTGTTGGAATTTCTCTTCTCGTTCTTCTTGTTTCTTTTGCTGTTCTTGAATTGCTGCCATCAAATCTGCTAAGCTGTAGTTTGATTTTCCGCCTCTCGTTTCCATCTTCTTCTTTTTTTTCTATCCCACTTCTGACACCAATTTGTTACGTCTCCGTTCGTTAGTTAATTTTCCGTAACTTCGTTTCGACGAAACTTTAGCGACACAAGTCCTTTCTTAAATAAAACTGTTTTTTTTCCGAATACAACTTTATGATACACTTAATTTCAACAGTCGCTCTATAACAAACTCTATAACTCACGAGCTCGACGGTTCAATTACACACTCTCTGACTGCAGTTCAATTACTCATTACCTACACACATTGTCCCGTCACGTTGTGACCATCCTATATATACCAGGCTACCCCCAATCTAGTAAATACTAGAGCATTCACGAAAGAACAGGACATTTCTAAAAAATTGATGGCGTGATACTAGTCACGTGACCTCGCTGACGCAACAGTCTTATATATACAAAATAGAGGGCGTCTGGCAAACACTCGAGCCTTTATGATCGTTCGACAGAATCATGACGTGTTACCAGCGTCGTCTGACTTCCGCTGTCGTAACAATATTATAAATCAACAGTGTGGAAATAAAGTAACTTTTTTCTTACGAAGTGTGGGACCACAGAAATAAATCAAACTCAAAAGGGAGCTACGACCAAAAAAAAAAAAGTTATCATTGTTATCATTACGTGGACTGGACTTTACTTTGCATTATTTTACCAAATAATCCAAAAGAAACAATTCAAGAAAAACCGTTACAACAGTATAAACGCAAGCAGAATTACATATTGGTGCGGTGGTACCTATGGTTGTATTCAATTGGAAGTAACGTTCGCTGTGCATACTTAGAAAAAAGCGATTCCTCGGTTTTATTCTTATTTAAACAACTTACTAAATCGAATAACACAATGGTACAAAATTTATTCTTTCATGGCAGCATTAGAGTATTAGTATAACCATTTACTGTATCTTTGACGTGAACCTTCCCTTTCTATCGTTGATTAGCGCTAGCGTCGTTGATGTAGTCGTACGCTGTAAGTTGTAAACTTCAATGGTTTTACTGATAGAGAGGGTATCCTACTTAACCACAGGGACGCAGGACATTATTTGCTTATAGCTGAAGTTGTACTCATTCGTTAATTCTCTACGTTTAGGTGCCGTACTGTAAGTTTTAAATTCAGTACTTAGGTGTGCATGTTTTAGAAAACTTTTACTAAATTTTATATTATTAGCCATTCATACATTTGGTTCTAGAGTATGTGGCATATATCTTGACTTGAGTGCCCCCGGCCTGATTGTGAATATTATTAATATTAGTATTATTAATATAATCGTAGCGTATTGCAAATTAAATGCATCCCGTTAAGTATTACCTTAGTTTTAAGTTAAATGCATAAATTTTAAAGAATTAAAACATGGTTGATTATAATACGTTTAATTTTTAATGTGAGTGTGACTTACGTTTGTAAACTGATCTGTATCATAGTCATATGATTATGATTCATGATTGAAAAAATAAATGAAATAATCTAAGATTTTTTTACAGGTTTATTGCCAGTTACCTGCTGTTATTTAAATAGTTGTATGATTTATAAAACAAATTTTGGTTTTATTTTAACAGTTTAAGGAAGTTACTTAAATTTAAGTAAGAATTGAAAGAATTCGAAAGATTCATGTTGTCAAAGCTTATTTGTTAATTACAATATATTGCATTTTCATGATGAAATATGTTTCAGATGATTAACTTACGTAAGATAACCTTCGTTTTCGTTCAGATGTTTATCTATGCCATTAAAAAGGCTTTTTTTCATATCTTTTGGAAATCTGTTTTTTTTTTAAGATAAATACAGGAAAAAATAAACTCCAAACAACAAAAACAAAACAAACACGAAAATAAATCCCACGACTTTGAAAGTTTAAGTTTAACCGGGTTGCTAGATACATGTGCTGACGGGCGTTAGGTTTTTAAGGCATAGGCGGTTCCATTCAATTCAGTGTACGAGTCCATTGAAAAAAATTAATTTGATTCACAGGAACGAAACTGACATATGTAGGCCGAAGTTTGTTACGAAGGATTATTTGTACAAAAAATGACAAAATGTACAACCTAAAGTTGGCTGTCTCGATAGCTGTGCTTCTAAATATAGAATATATGTTGACAAAAGATTACGTTTTATTGAAAACCCTGGAGAAAACATAAGCTAGTGAAAATTAATAAATGAAGTAAACCATCTAAATACCATAACGGGTCGTATATATTTATCATAGTACGATAGAAGCGGTAGTAAAATAATAATGTTGTTGATGATGAGATGATGATAATAATTATTATGATAATCATTAGTTGTCATTATTATGAATATGCTTATTATTATTATTATGTGAATTCTGTATGAAGATTTTAGTAGGAGGTTCAAGAATGATTATCATACCAGATTCAAGAGTTTCTGAATTATTTCTTTTGTTTTTGTTACTATTAGGCTGGTCACTTCTATCGCGTAGCTGGTTGATCAGGCGAATCAAGAAAATTAATTCACACGGAACTCTGACTCGATTCAATCAATACTTCGTAATGAGCGGTTAGAAAGAAAAATGTTCATGAATGTCACATCCTTATTAGTTACTGTGATACTACTCACTACTAAAGGGTGGATTGTGCTGGGACAGTTTTGAAGTTAAAGTTAAAGAACCTAAGCTGGCTCAAAGGTGCCTGATTGTTTGTATATTAATACTGTAATGTGTCTTATCAAGTTCAGATAACATAATGAAAATGAATTAGTTTATTTCTTCTATAATGTTTCTACATTGACATAAGTTATAGGCCTAAAAACAGTTGTAACAGAAATTTCGAGACTAATAGTACCTATGCTTAACAAATACAGAACTTTCAAAGTTTCCTTTGTAATTGATCGACAAATTGAATAGACGTAATAAATCTCATTGAACAATATTTCTGACACTGAACTCGATCACTCATTCATTACTCAATAAGTTCTCATTTGCTCACTACTTCACTGGCTCTAGTATTTATAATCTACCTGCCTTCTACTCACTAAATGCTTTTTCTAAATCATACATTCTTCACCCTCTAGCAATCACCTAAATTAAAATATAGCTTACAACACTGTTCCTTTCCAGGATTGTGAAATCCCATGAACAGTCCTGTTACAAAAGATAAAACAGTACACTAAGTTGGCTATTCAACAAGCATATTCTGGTTGGTGTCTTTTCTAAGGGTTATGGTATTCAGACATAACAACATCATGTCTCTTGTCTTCAGTTGCTATCCTATCACTGGCAGGTTCTCCCTGGATAGTTGGTCAGCCCAATACACTAGTGGCTCTCTATCCTTGGTGATTCTTTGGAAGTGATCTTGAAATGAACCCTGGGCTAAACTGCAAGTTGGATTTCTGCTGGCAAACTTTTGTCTGGAGATTCCATTTGGCTGTTCTCTTGCCAACATACTTTCAAAGACAATCATGGTAGATGAACTTTGACTTGGAATGCCTGTTGTTCTGTATTCTGTAAACCACATGATTGATTCTTTTCAGTACAACATATGGCCCTTCCCAACAACTACTTAACTTTAGCTTGTCCTATCTTATGATGAAATTTGTTCAGCCATTGTCATCTTGATAATATCCAGTCTTATCAGCATTAACGTCATAATGGCATTTCATTTTATCTTTAGCTGATTTCAGTCTTTCCTGGGAAAAGTCATGTAGGACATCATTATTTTTCAAGTCCACAAGAGCTATTCTAACCATCAATCCCTTGGGACATGCTAGAGTGTTTAGTTTCACCATGCCCTTGTCAATAGATGTGGATTTATCCTGGTACAAGTTTTTCATTTCTTGGTGATACAATAACCACCCTCTATTGTCACTGCAAGTTCAACCTCTAGTGTAGTGATTTCCATGTGATACACAGAGATTTCCTGGTCACAAACTGCAAAGCTATTTGAAGCTAGCCTACCTTCACATCAATTTATCTGTATGAAGACAGTTCCCAATATGCAGTCTTTCTCAGTGTAAATTATACACACATCACGAGACACAGAGAAACTTCATACATTAAGGGTAACTACCAGCTTTCCTCTTTCATCATGTCTGGATGCAGTTTCCCACATTTTGTACCAAATTGGTTCAAACAGTTGTGCCTATAGAACCATTGTCACTCAACATAATGCAATATTTTCCATTAATAAACCCATGGACTCATGGATGCTTATCTCATTTAGAACAGATGAAGTATTTCCAGTTGAACTTTGACCCATAGATCCAGTTAATTCCTGTATAGATACATTTTTTATTTATGTTTTTGCTTAGTTCTTTCTTGCTCCTGTTGTTTTCTAGTTTTCTTTATCAGATTTAAGCCAGGATGTTGTATATGAACACGTCTTGTATTCAGCGCTGTACTCTGAAACGTAAATGTAATGTTCAAACCAAAAGTTGTTTCAAGAATTTTATATCTTTGAGTGTGGTCACAAAAGTTTTAATTAAAAATATTACTAAAACACTTCAGTCTTAAAAGAAGTTTCATGTCACAGACTGTATCAGAGGTTGTCATGAGTCTGTCATTTTAAAAGATATCCTGGTGACAGGTACTCATTTTGAATCTGGAGCCCAAGCCAATAGAACACTAGTAATTGACTTACTGTACAAAACTTTTATTTTAGGATAAAGACAGCAGAAAGTGTGACAAAAGATAGTGTATTAAAGTTACTGCATTATATTAGATCACTTTAGTTTTCTTGTGTTTAAAGACTACTGTTATCAGCTGTTTGAACCAATATGTTATGGCATGCTTTCTTTAAATATCACAAACATTTGTCAAAAGTTTGGTGACAGAATTTCATAATAAGGAAGTTTGAAAATATATTGCTTGGGATATGAAAGATGTAGTGGTTGAAACACCATCTGTAGAAGCAACCCACTTGAAAACAACTGTCATGACATGAACTACATTAAGTTGGTGAGGTGTAATTTATTTTCAATTTTATTTGGGTCACAACACATCAGAATGAAAGTGAGAATTATTTAACACTTTGTTTTATTTATTTCTTTACTTTATCACTTTAAATGAATTCTTATTTTCTTGAGTTACCTGCTTATTATCCTAATGAAATGGCCAATGTAAAAGATGTTGCAAGTGATAGACTCCACTTAAAACAGAAATAATGATTGGGAAAGTTATGAAATATTTGCTTGGAAATATTTTAATTAAGCTTAGATACAGGTGAGAAAAATCATTTCAGCTTAGGAAATCCTGTCATGGATCTTGGAAGACATGAGACTTGCAAATTACCTAGTTATACTGATACGGAGAAGGAAAATATGCTCAGTTTATTTTATGCTACTACTAGAAGTACTTACATTATGCTGTCAGGATTAGAAGATTTGACTGTGGTTTGTTAGTTTTCCAAAGTTCTGACTAAGTAGAGATTATACTAATATTATGTTATTTGAAGCTAGTAGAGAAGACATGTAATTAATTTGTAGAATTTACAGATTGGAGGAGAACCTGGAGGCTATTTGTAGAGTTTACAGATTGGAGGAGAAACTGGAGGCTATTTGTAGAGTTTACAGATTGGAGTAGAAACTGGAGGCCATTTTTAGAGTTTACAGATTGGAGTAGAAACTGGAGGCCATTTTTAGAGTTTACATATTGG